AAACTGAGAACGATGCAAAAAAGAATTTGAAACAAGCGGTTAAGAAAGCGGTGAGAAATTGAATTATTTGAGCTTTGATGGGAAAAAAGCCTGTTATGCTTACAGATTCTTCAAACAATCAAGCAGGAAGCTAAAACAGCTGGAGTTGAGCATCTTGTTACCCCCGACATGAATACTCAATTCAAGCCAAAAATTTATTATTATCCGCTGAACTGTGACAACAAGATCACACCAAACAACAAGAACAATATTACTTGTGCAGGTCAGGGTCTTTTCCGCTTGTATTTACTTATTATTTGTCATACTTTACATATGGCTTGCAGCGAAAACAGCAAAAACGGGATGGTGCTGCTCTGCGACAGATAAGATGATTACGGAGATACAAATCCCAGGACAAACAAATGAGATAAGCTCAATCACTCCAGTACCGGAGCCATACCAACAGCTAATTGTGGAACTCACTGTGAGTAAAAGACACATTGAAAATCTGCATAAACTGGCTAGTGCAAGTTTGCTTAGAACACAAAATTTCTCATTAGCGTGAGATGAAATTTGTATCGAATAGCCTAGGGTGTGGTTGAGTTCAAATGGTGCCTCGTGTGCCATTGCTATAGAATTTAAATGCTCACCATTCTGAGCATATCAGGAGTCATTTGACACTTACGTATTTTGAAAATATCATATTTTTGGAAAATAAAAAGAGACGTTTTCAGATTGAGAACGCTGAAGTCGCAAAATGGAAGAAGGAGCAGTGGACATCCAAAATGGCAAACGTTGAGAAGAATCTGAGGAATAACAAAGAATATGCAGAAGCCTTCAAAAATGTCAATGTGAAAGTTCTTGGAGTATATTCAGCACAGTGAAAGCAATTTGAATGAAGTTGAGAAGCAATATTGACAAGAGTTTTCTGCGAAAGCGTTGGAGAATCCACGAAACCACTTGTGTTTAGCGTGGAATGTTCGCTTGAGTGAATTAGAAATAGCTCCGCTGCAAAAAGCAGGATATGCGATTATCCAAGCAATAATTTAACGAGTCCGTCAAAAATTAGTGGTACATCAATGGTTCCTACAAATCAGTGTCCTAGGCGAACCTGGGTACCTTGGCTCCGTATGAATATGGACACTGATAAAGGAAAGATTGACTAAGCGACAGCTCATGGGATATACTCCTGAGCACAATTTGGAAACTATGTACCAATGTTCTTTCCCCAGCGACCAATCAGCGCCGTCGACCGCGGTGATTACTTCACGGGTATTGGGTTCTTGACGCATTGTGTATGCACTGGTCCTGACTAACGCAACAGTACAAGTCCGTTCGAAAAAGGTGGACTCTAAAGCGAGAAAATTACTTCGGAAGAAAACGGCGGTATTCTAATCCCGCCTCCTTCACTTTCGACGTGGTCAATACAGCAGATCTAGCGCAATCACCACGTCAAATCCTGTTAAAGAGGCGGGATTAGTAGTACCGCCCCTCTTCGGACTTGTACTGTTGGGTTAATCAGGAGCAGTGCTCTCACACTGCGTGAATACCCCCATACCCTCCATTTGTCCTGCACAATGCCTTTGAATTATTCAGCCATGTGTGAATCTTACCAGGTGCCGCTGGAGCAATAGCACAGTCCAGCCTTCACAATTATTTTTCACACGTGATAATTGCGAAAATAGAATACTAATAATTACGTGTAAACAAAATTATAGCAGAAACGGAGGCACTCAGTGAAGTGCGAATTTGAATAAACGCATTCTAAGATCGTCGTAAGCCATCCGAATATGACT